AACAGACTGGAAACTCTCAGCTGCTCTCCAGAAAATCCTGAAAACTGCAGTGAGTGACCCGATCAAACTACAATAAAGACTGAAACCTGCTCTTGCGTGACATTCATTACAGTTTACTGCAGTTATCCAGTGAAGGCGGGGACTAATCTGCATATTCATGAGCACACACCTAATAAGGTTTGAGTAACATTACAGCTGTTTGCAGACATGAAGACTTTATTCTCAAAGGAATTATATATATATATATATATATATATATATATATATATATATATATATATATATATATATATGTGCACATATCCTTTCACAGGTCTGGGGTCAGCTCTGAACAGAGGATTACTCTTGATTCTCTCTGCTGCTGTTTAATGTGTGATGAAGGCAGAATGCGGAGCTGTAATCAGCACACAGAGTCAGGCTGAGCAGAGCTCTAACAGAAGAGCTGAGCTCACTGCTGTCTTCATCCTCATATCACTGCTCTCTCCATCATCATCACAGATTCATCACATTTGGTTGGCTAATAAATGTCAAGGTGCATTACTGCATCTCTTCCCAAACAACACAACGCGTTCATCACTTCCATGCTGTTCATGAGGCCGGTTCGACTCAGATAACTTCAGAAATCTTCAGTGTTTTGGTCTCCAGGTACAATTTAATGTGTTGAGCAGCCCTCAGTCTTTCTTTAGTCTCAGGTGAGTGTGCAGAGCTCAGGATGGGGTCTCAGGTGAGTCTGTGTAACCCAGGGGTGCATCTCTTCCTCAGGTGTGTGTGTGTGTCTTGCTCAGGTGTGTTTCTCTCTGAGGCAGAAGCTGTCTTTGCTTCATTTTCTCCTTGTGGTTGTCTTGTTGTTTGTATCTGTACAGAAACCGCTGTGTGCCTTTAGTGCAGTGTGTGTGTTGCTGTAAACTGGAGCTTTCATTTGGTTCAGCTGTGTGTGTGTGTGTGTGTGTGTGTGTGTGTGTGTGTGTGTTCTGAGCTCCAGTGTTCTCCAGGTGAGGCTGATGGGTAAATCTGCTTCTGGAGTCTGTCAGTAATATTCCTGATCTCCCACTGACCCAGAGCTCCTGTAGGCTTTATTTCTGTGGGGTTCAGGGATTAAACTGGTTCCTCCAGTGTTCTGCTCTAACTCTGCTGTTCACCACTGACCTGTTTGTCCCCCAGACCGTCTGACCAGCTCTACTATACTGCACTGTAATACTGTAGTTTAACACTGTTCTGTTGTGTCCAGCTCACTGCTCCTCCTGACTCTGCTCCATCTCAAAGTAAACTGGTGTTTAAGCGTTCCTCTGTCAAAACCCAGAGGAACACTCATCTGTCGATAACACAGCAGAATGCTCACCCGTCAATAACCCAGTGAACGGTCACCTGACGATTACCCAGAGGAACGCTCACCAGTCGATAAAGCATCAGAATACTCAGCTGTTGTCGTTGCCACCTGTTGATGACCTGGACAAACGCTCACCTCTCAATAACACAGTTTAACCAATGCTCACCTGACGATTACCCAGCGAATGGTCACCTGAGGATTACCAAGTGGAACACTCACCTGTCAATTACCCAGTGGAATGAGCAACTGTCAATAATCCAGAGGAACACTCACCTGACCATTACTCAGCGAACCGTCACCTGACGATTACCTAGTGGAACGCTCATCTGTTGATAACTCTTCAAAATGCTCAGCTGTTGTCAGTTACACCTGTTGATGACCCGGACAAACGATCACCTCACAATAACACAGTTTAATGCATGCTCACCTGATGATTACCCAGTGTAATGCGTACCTGTCAATAACCCAGCAAACGATCACCTGACGATTACCCAGTGGAATGCTCACCTGTTGATAACCTATCAGAATGCTCAGCTTTTGTCAGTGACACCTGTTGATGACCCAGACAAACTCTCACCTGTCAATACTCAAATTTAATAAAGCTCCACTGATGATTACCCAGTGGAACACTCACCTCTCAATAACCCGGCGGAACGCTTACCTGATGATAACCCAATGGAACATTCACCTGTCCATAACCCAGACAAACACTCACCTGATGAAAACCCAGTAGAACGCTCACCTGTCAATAAGGCAGCGGAATGTGCACCTGTCAAAAACCCAATGAAGCGCTCACCTGTCAATAGCACAAAGGAATGCTCACCTGTCGATAACCCAGTGCAACAGGCACCTGTCAAAAACCCAGAGGAATACTTACCCATCAATAACCCAGCGGAACACTTACCTGATGATGACCCAGTGGAACGCTCATCTGTCAATAACCCAAAGGAATGCTCAACTGTCGATAACCCAGCGCAACAAGTACCTTCATCACACTTTACCAAAGATATCAAGCAAGGAATCAGGCAAAGAGTCAGAGTTTCAGAAGCATACTGAAAATAAAATGATGAAGTGTGCTAAAACAAATAAAAAAAGATAAGTCATATTTAAGGAGGTACTGATGTACACACACACACACGCACACACACACACACGCACACACAGCAATGATGATTTATTAAATGTGGCATTTCAGAAATGTCATTTCTCTCTGGAATCTAAGAGCTCTACCAGCACGGCAACTTCACATTATTATGAGCAAAACCCTAACCCTAAACACTGGACATATACAATACAATCTTGGATTCCCAGAATACTGTAAGAAAAGGCAGAGATTGTACAACAGCAGAGACGAGGTGTAAGATTTAGGAAAAGACAAATGAAATGTTACAGCTAGAAATGAAGAACACAATCAGAGCGGGTTTATGATGATCCAGCTTTATGACTAAACCATGAAAGCACAAATAAACAGAGCGAGTCTATCAGGCATCTCAGAGATTAATGAGCGATTAATGAAGACACTTCAGGTGTAAATGACAGATACAGAGAACCAGGTCAGAGTTATTTATAAAGTGATTTTGCCTTGTAGATTTGTCAAAAACACTTTACAGATGAACATCCATAACAGGAGGAAATAATTGTTCTAAAATATGTGTTATTGTAAACAGAAAAGGCATCATTTATAAATCAATAATGAGAATTTGTGAAACAAACACAGTCTATGATGGTGTGAAACTGTACAGGGCTGTACACGTCAGGGAGAAGATGAAGGCAAGAAACATTAAATATAATGAGTGTTTGGTTGGAAGTGAATGGCAATGTGTGTGTGACAGACGATCTCAGTATCAGATTATAGATGTGTGGTGGTGGCGGACACAGTGCTTCAGACACTAGAACAGCAGACACTGAGCTGATTTACAGGAGCTTTCACAACAACCCAGCAGAGGCAAAAAATCAGACCAACAAACCAAACCAAACCTCATCAACGAGCATACAGAGTGTGTGTTCAACATGTGTACCACACGCGAATACACTGCACATACCTGAACACAAGCATAGCAGGAATTATCAGAGTCACAGGATCATGTGTTCATCCAGAATCAGAAATCAGCATTGAGGGAAAAGAGTCAGTGAATGCAGAGAAACCCCTGCGTTATCATTATACAGACTCTGCTGCTGTGTGAAAACAGGATACAAATAAAATATATTTAGTAAATTACACACCGAGGGCAGTAAACAGAAGACAGAGAAGGGGATTCAGCTTCTCAATATCTGAATTACTGCTAACCCATTTCTGAAAAAGAGGGAACAACTCAAACACATGGTCACATACTAAAACAACTGGGGCAGACTTCCAGGATTATAGAGGGAGAAGTTGACTTTTAATACTCATATCCAAAACGGATTAGATAAATGTAAAAAGGCATGAATGTAATGGGGTGAGGCCATCATTAAACAGATCAGAAGATCAGCAATAGCTTACAGCAGTTCAATATACAGCTCTGCTTCTCAAACCGGCCTTAAACAATGAAAACTATTCAAAACACACTGTAGGATCAGTTCTGGAGCTTTCCAGACAACTTCCCAACAACTGACTCAGCTCTAGTGCAACTAGGAGAAACGCTTCTGATGAAGGAACACCAGTAAAACAGCACCACAGAATATTTAGGAATATGATTACGAAAAAATCAACATGAATGGTTGGGCAGTACATGAAACACACAGGTCAATGTGTCTGAGAAAGAGGACACTCAGTGTGCATCAGGAGACAGATGGATGATCACAGTGTCAGAACTCATCCATTTACTCAACACACACACACACACACACACACACACACACACACACACACACACACACACACACACACACACACACACTTGATTAATTTATTGGGAATGACTAGTACTAATTAAAGCAACACATCATCAAAATAATCATATTTTGATGATGTTTCACAGTGGAAGCAGTAAATACAGTCATTGAATTTATTTTCAACTAAAAAGTAGTAAATAAATGGGTTAGGCATATCAAATCAAACCCCAATATTTCCTGACCTTTACATGAACTTTTCCATTAATGTACATCACACAGATGTGGGAAGGTCAGTTTATGGCATGTTGTGTTAACAGAAAGAGACAGCAGAGTATTTAGTGAAAGAGACGCTAAAGGAGTCAGATGTGGCTTTAGGATGTGTCTGATAGGTCTTTATTCTCTAAAGCAGATAAAAAGGGACTGATCAGCTATAAGATGAAGATTTGGCAGAACATACAGGTTATAAATTGGCATGACGTCTATATGAAATGCAGATAAATGTGTGTTGGAAAGAAAATGTCCATATAACTTTATCCTGAACTTCATACAAAATGAGGAAACACAAATGAAAGCTGTTATTGTGGACTGAAACACTCTCACGTATATTAGTGTAATGTCAACAACAAATATTCCAGCAGTTTCAGTCACTAAAAATTGGGGTGGGAAAACCCTTTCACTGTTACATTGCAGAAAAGCAAAAAGCAAAATGACAATGATTACATATATGAAAGAGCAGAAGAGATGAAACAGATTAGACCTCCCCGTCCCTCCAGTCCTCAACTAAGCTGCACTCCACCCTCCAGTCCAGTAGGTGGCAGAATCTGCACCTTTACACTGTTTGCCAAACACCAGTAAACAGAAGAAGAAAGTTGTTTGAAAACGCCTCATCTTAAACCCTTCAGAAACCCTGCTGTTTCCAGCTCTCAGATAAGACCAGTGTCTGATGATCTTGTGTAAATGATTGTCTGTGCAAATGATGTGGAGTTTTGTTGATTAGTCTTTAATGAGGTTATTGGTTTGTGGAGGCTTGTGTTTATACTGTAACTCTTATATTTGTCTGAGAACATGTTAAAGATGAAGGAGCATCTGTCTAGTGCAATATCACAGCTGAGCAAGAAGACAAGCACAAGAATAAAATCCCCACATCCTCTCCATCAGCTCATCTACAGATCAGATCAGTGAAGCGAGTGATCAGCTGTAACTCTCGGCCTGTTTGTTGGCTGAGTGTTAGAGAAATGATGGTGAATTTACCACAGCGCTGTGTTTAATCTGTCTCAGACACCATCAAGCAGATCTATAATAGTGGAGGAACCCTTTCTGCTCACCTGGTGATGCTGACCGGCCGAGAGGAGCAGGAGAGAACACACGGACAGGTGAACTGCTGAGCAAACACTGGAGGAGAAACACACAGGTGGGTGAAACAGCAGGTAGAGCTCTTCTTCTTGTCTTATTGGCGGTTTGCATTCTTAAACAGAGCATGACCGCCCCCTACTGTGAGTTGTGGGTCAGAGACTGAATTTCCTTTTCCTCTGGACTCTTCAAGGCAGAGTTCTGATCTGACTGTGTGCTTTCAGAGAGGCTGTGATTGCGGTGCAGGTCAGTGTAATCCTGCAGAGTGTACCTGCGGTGGAGTGTGATGCTGAGCATGGAAACCCTACAGGTGAAACACACCTCTGCTTTGCTTTAATCTGGATATCTTGTGTTGAGTGATTTCATTAATGAAGGAGTCTTTGCTTTCACCAGACCTGAGTGAAGTATTCCTGTGCATGTTATCAGTCTTCTCTAATGGATCTTCTGTCTGTCACTGGTGTTTTCTGTTGAGTTTATTCCCGGTCAGCTGTCATAGTAATGTCTTGATTAGCTGCTTTTGGTGTGTTGAATTAGAGTTTGCATGTAAACTGTTCTGTTCTGCTTCTGACTGACCTGTATTATGTGTGTTTCAGATGTAGAAATCCTGCTTCAGCTTGCTCTCCTCGCTTCATTTAACAGTAGTGGTGGGCAAAGTGAGGCTTCATGAAACTGAAACAGTCGAAGCAAATGTGTCAAAGCTTTGAAACGTTTCAAAACTCTACAGTGACGCCTAGTGGTAATTGTTATACATTGCTCTGGAACAGCTTCAGCAAAGAACAATTGAGCAAATTGAGGTATTAAAACCCACTTTGTACCTTTGAACCTACAAGTGTTGTAGCGGAGCGGTCAGAGTTCCTGACTATCATGCAGGGATACTGGGTTCGAATCCAGGCAAATGCAGGTATGTTGAAATGCTCTGTTCTTGTATTGTTTTGTTTCAACATTGGTCAGACATCAGAATAAACACTATTTGTGAATAAATATGTCTTGTTTTGGTCATTAAACAGGGTTGTTTCTAGATCAGACACAGTTGTGGTCAGAAGTTGACAAGACTTATTTATACTATTATTGAAATTCCTCATTTATTGTATTTTAATACCGTCTACTCAAACGCTAAACCCAACCGTCACAGTGCTGTAAAAATATGAATTATTGCTATACAGTCTTACACAAATGATGCTGTATGGATGGTGTATCCGCAGCTGTATCCTATCTAGACTACATCATAACACAGTAGCATTATTAAAATAGAGAAAATCCTAATTTTGGAGCATTTGTACAAAGCAGGATTCAAACCCAAAAGCCATTTGAAGCACAGTAACAGCATGCACATGCACGGTCCACTAGGCTATATAAGACAGAAGTTTTTCTGACCCAGTCAGTCAAATGCAGATTCGCCAGGTCTCGGAACGGTTCTGAAATGATGTTAAAGAGCACAATCACAGAAGGAGAGAATGAGAAATAAACACATACAGCAACAGCCTCACACCAAAGCAACTGATTTAAACACCTCCACAAACAGCATCAGCAGCTCCACTGAAAAACATTTGATAATGAACAGAGCTTTTATTTCTTTATTGATTATTTTTCCAGTTTGACCTCACCATCATGGAGATCAGAGGCTGCTTTAGTTGGGCTCTTGATCCTTTACTCTTCTATCTTATTGTTTCTGAAACTCATCAGCTATGGCAATAAAGGCAATGAGAAGCTTTATGTAAATATTTGTTACAGCTATAATCGCTAGTGATCCATAACTTAAATAAAACAATTGCAGGTTTATGTGACGTGGTTTGGGGCATTAGGAAAGTATCCCATGGAGAGTCAACAAACAAGAATTAATTAAAATTAATTAATATAGTTTCATACGCAAAACCTTGAGAGCTCAAGAAGCACATTTAAAGGTTCAGGACACCCTGGAGAACTTTTTTTTTATATTAACAGATGTGTGTGTGTGTTGAGCATCAGATAAGACGATGTTAGCACCTGTCAGCTTTAATTGTGGGGAAAACTGGATAATTTTGAGCTTTTGTCAGCTAATTTCAGCTTCCAGGTTTAAAATGATTTTTGGGGCGGATCGAAATCGGCGACGTAGCGCAGTACTGCAAGTGCAATGATGACGCGTCGGTTTCTCATTATTATTCATAGCGGAGTTTTCTTATCCTATGAGAAGAGCCGGCTGCTTAATTATTCATGAGAGCACGTGCTTTCCGAAGGCAGACCTGCCAGTTTCAAGCAAGCTGTGAGACACGAACCCACGGCACGCAGTAGCCGTTCATGAAGGCTTGTATGTGTTTGTTTCCATGATCCACGGGGTTTGTTGCATGTTGTTTTCCCCGCGATCTTGTCAGGGCCGATACAGCAAAGCTGTGTGTGTGCTGCAAGCATTTTTGTCGGGAGAGCAGTACGAGAATTGGAGAATGGCAGACGTTGACTTTTATCAGGAGTTCGTTCACATTCAGACACATCGCTGTGCTGCTGTGTTTGCCTAAATCCTCTATATTACCAGCAGGGCTAATGGTTAAAATAGACAGGTCAGGAGACCTGCTGCACTGAGTCTGCATTCAGATCTATATTTAGACCCGGGGATCGAGGGAGAATCCTCATTTATAGGGTTTACATAAACACTTTTCTTTATAATGATATAAATTGTGGTTATGTGTATATGAAATTACAAATAACAAATGTAGCAGGGCATTAAATTACTGTTTATTCCTTTGCATTTTAACTTTGAGAACTATAAACTCATGCGTCTCCTCGCAGTTTGTCTCATTTTGTGAGCTAACTGTCAACAACAGTCGTTCGCTCCCCTTCTCCCCTGCTGGCCACGCCCACTCCTGCCCTGTGCTCGCAGAGCTCCACGCCCATTAATCATGCATCTTTTGAAAAAAATAAGTAGACTTCAACCAAAAGTGGGGGTTGTCTTGACCCTTTACGACACAAAGACATCAAGAATCAAGATATGAACCTCAACCACGGTTACTAAAATTAAAAAGCTGCATGATTCATCCATGCCACAATGCATGCTGGGTACATAGTACGAAACTCCCAGCATG